CCTCCGTATGCCGGATATGCGGCTTGATATAGTCGAAGTAGACGACGCCAGCGAGCGAGTTGAGATTAGCCGAAAGGGAGCTCAGCGAAGCGCTGAAGACGCACGAGATGAACAGACCGGGCATGCCCGGCAGGTTACCCATTATGTCCTGAATGAAGAAGGGCATCATTTTGTCTGGCTTGCTGACCAGCTGAGGATGACATAGGATGATAAATACCATATCTCTATAAGAATTCGGTCTACTTACGCCAGCTAACATGGGATCGCAGCCGAAGTAGTGAGCAAACATAATGATGCCGGTAAAACAGGTGATAGACATGATTATCATGAAACCAAATCCAGCCACAACTAAAGATCTGTTTAATGAATAGGGAATAAAATACATATAATATAAGCAATCGGAATTTAACTTACTTTTTGGCTTCCGCAAACGAGGGTAAGGAGACAATGCGCTGAACACAGCTCTGATCAAGTCCAATTTTACCGGTCCACAGAAGTAAGCCGCTGCCTATGGCATTCCATATAGTAACTCGAATCCTGGGATCCAGTCTAAACCTATATGAATATGTATAGTTTATTTAAGAAGTGCTACCTTTGTGGAACTTACTCAAAGTTCATACGTCCTCCTTGTGTAGCGTGATCCAGCACAGTGGCCAAGCCACCTGTTCCCATTATGCCCAAGACGGCCACCATGATCACCGAGATAAGCATTACAGCAGCCTGGACAACATCCGTCCAGACGACCGCCTTAACGCCTCCCAGCATGGTGTAGAAAACGCACACCGAGGAGACAATTATATTGATCAGGTGAATATTTACGCCGGTCACTGTGGATGAAATAAAAACAGAGAATATTTCTAATGAACAACTTTTGCCAAGGGTGAGCACTTACCTTGAGAGAAGGCCAACGATGGTATGAACATATAGACAGGCAGCATCAGGAATTGGTTCATAATGAATGTGAGAGTGACGAATCGACGAGTTCCCTTATTGAAACGCATCTCCAAGTACTGAGAAAATATATTATATATCGGAATAGATAGATGGATAGATAATCTATTGTTACCTCATAGCAATTGACGACGTTGTTGTCGTAGAACACCGGCACAATAATGTATATAAGGATGGGGACAGTTGGCAACATGGCCAGCACCGAGAATATAAAGTTGAAGCCATATGTGTAGTTCTCGGTTGGAACTGACATGATCGCAACTCCAGAAAGTTGACTGTTCACAATTAAATAATTTTTCAAAATATTCGTTTACATATAAAAGTAGTTGAATACTATCAAAAGAATTTGCACAATGTTGCTAGAAAAGCAGAAAATAAAAGGAAATTCCATTCGTATTTCCTTAACACCTCGAATTCGGAGAAAGGACTCATAGAATAAAACTTTTATATGGGTTCTCCAGAAGTTCGACAGTGAGTCAATAATTCATTTAGATAATGAGATAATTTTATGAAAAAAGAGGCCCGTGCGGTTATTTATAAAATATACTGATGTAATATAAAATTGTTCCAAGTAAGATAACTTAAGATAAGCTATCATATTTAATGGCACTGATTGAGATAATAGAACTGACTCGCTGACTGGATTTACGAACCTGGAGACCAAGGATATGGCAATGGGCAGGGCCTGCATCTTCTTGCCCCCGCGCAGGTATTCGTCGGTGGTGTTCTTTGACTTGGAGAAGAATCCAAAGTAGACGCCAATGGCTGCCGAGACACTCAGCATGACTGCGAATATGGTGTAGTCCGTGACGCCGAATCTCAAATCCTCTACATGAACTGGCATTGCAGCTGTTGCCGCCGTGCTGGCCAAGGTTGTTGCGCTGCCCGACATCCTGGCTATTATCCTGCTATTATCCTTTAGTCTGATTCGCCGCACAAGCTTGTGCAGATGCGTAAGCTGTCAGCACAGTTATGAGCACTCAAATCAAAAGTTTCATCTTAAGTTCAGAACATGGTAGCTTATCAGTAGCTAAAATATTTGCTAGACGTTGGCTGTAAAATGTTAATGAGTGTCCATAAAGTGGACCTAACAGCTTCTACGTTTCCTGACGTTCATAGACAGCGTCTTTATATGCTGATTCAGCAGCCACGAGCATTTGGGACCAAAATTGTATTTTGGTCGCGTCCCGCTGAATGCTTAAGTTCTGATAAGACTCTACACGCACTTAAAATTGTTTGCTCTGCGAACCAAATTCACTGAAAGTAAAATTTCTTATACAGTAGCACTTCCTGAGTCTTTTTACGTAATATAATCGAGGCAACTAAATATAGTTTTTTAAAGAAAAAAAAATGTATTAAATAATAGATCGTTTCCAGATCTATATCGCCTTGAGGATGTCCATCTTCATACATCCAACTACCTTAGCATGTTGTTAGAATTCTTCCTAGTTTTACAGCCCTGAGCAACTATATCAACAAAATACATTTTCTTCTACAAGACTGTCTTCCCATTATATTAACCTGTACATTTTATTGAAATATAATCTATTTAGTACAAATGCTAATCTCGAAATTGGGCATCAAATTTAACACTATTTTTCAAATTTGACTCCGAGTCGTCCTTTAGTGGCAACTCCTTGACCCCCTTGAGTGGCAACTCCTCCAATTCCAGCACAAGATTCCGAGGTAGGAATTTCCTTATGAAGGGCGTGAACAGCTTTGGATTTAGCGATTCGGGTTTGTCCTGCTTACAAATGTAGCTCATGGGCACGGCGATGAGGAACGTGAGGATCAGACCCAGGAACTTGTACAGGTAAAAGGATATATCGAATATGGAAAAGTCACGATTGCTGCCAAAGGCGCCTGTCACCAAAGGTGGCACAGTTGGTTTCTCAATCACAGTCACTGGGGTTGTGTTGTTGTTGCTGTGGCTGGGAAAAATAAAGGAAATATGTGTATAATAAAATATCAATCAAATGAATGAAAAGTTTGTAATGCTTACATTGCATTTAGAATCGTATGCAAATTCTTGGCCTCGCATTGGTCCAGGCTATTGGGCAGGATATCGTACTTGATGATGCCGGCCTTGAAGTGCATCTGGGACTTTATAATGATGACTACCATGAAAGCGATGCTAAATATAATGCCCGATATGGCTGCCTTGCTGCTCACTCGCGGACAGAACATGCCCAAGAGGAACGCAGCGCTCACGGCTCCCGTGCTGATGCCCGTGATGCTCAGCACAGTCTGTATTATGGAGTTAAAGTTCTGCACCAAGAGGCCCCCAAAGACACAGTAAATGCCTATGATGACAATGACCACCTTCATCGTGGCATTGGCTCGAGCCTCCGTGTGCCGTATGAATGGCTTAATGTAATCAAAGTAAACGACGCCAGCGAGCGAGTTGAGATTCGCAGAGAGCGTGCTCAGCGCAGCGCTGAAGACGCACGAGATGAAAATGCCGGGCATGCCCGGCAGCTTACCCATTATGTCCTGAATGAAGAAGGGCATCATTTTGTCTGGTTTGCTGACCAGCTGCGCAAGAGATTGGGTAACTCAATTAGGAATAGAATCGGATTCAAGTTTCGAGCTACTTACGCCAGCGAGCATGGGGTCACATCCGGAATAGCGTGCAAACATAATGATTCCAGTGAAGCTCATCATGGACATGATTATTACAATTCCAAATCCCGCAATTATGAGAGATCTGAGAAACATGTCTGTGTCAATTCGTATAAGACCTTCGCATTCTTGTTCGACTTACACTTTGGCATGCGCATACGAGGGTAAAGCTACAATGCGCTGCACGCAGCTCTGATTGAAGCCAATGTGACCCAACCACATAAAGAAGCCTCCCGTGAAGCAATTCCAGACTGTCATGCGTATGCGAGGATCCAACCTGTAGCTGTCATTCGTGTATTAAAGCAAATAATAGATCATGATGAAGGCAAGATAAAATATTATCTAATAAATGAATACGACATAATTAATTGATAAATTAATTCATATATAAATTCAAATTTATAAATTTGAAAATTAAAATAAATTAATTTCTTGAACAAACAAAATTCAAATTTTATAATTAAATTATTATAAAAATGTTAACGTATAAATTAATATAAATTCAAATTTGTAAATTTGAAAATTAAAATTAATTAATTATACGTTAACATTTTTATAATAATTTAATTATAAAATTTGAATTTTGTTTGTTCAAGAACTAGACTTTATTAATTGAAAAAAAAAAAAAAAAATTTCATTAGTTCATGTAAGTTAACAATGAATAATTTAAAAAAAAATTAAAACCACATATTGAAAAAATAAATTTAAAAATTTAATTTTTTGGAATTATTTGATTTATATATTGAAATTTATTAAAAAAAAATCAACCTATAAAGCCCATAAAGTATATAAAAACTATTAATTTAAATGAATTTAATATTTAGTGTAATTTATCAGAAATAGTTAACGCTGCTTTGGGAATTTTACCCTCAGCTCATCTATGATCCTTATGAATGTAAATTGTTATGCAAAACTTACTCAACGTTCAGTCGTCCTCCATTGTTGGCGCTCTCAAGCACCGAGCTAAGTCCTCCTGCTTGCATGGTGCCCAGCACTCCGACCAATAGCACCGAGATCAGCATGATGGCGCCCTGCACCACATCTGTCCAGACAACGGCCTTGATGCCGCCCAACATGGTGTAGACAACGCATATCGAGCAGACCATGATATTGATCAGATGAATATTTATGCCGGTCACTAAATAAACGGGAATATACGTATAATAAACATAGCTGGGGTAGTTGCCAGCGGATATACCTTGCGAAAATGCCAGAGAGGGTATGAACATATACACGGGCAGCATGAGGCACGCGTTTAGCAAAAACGTTGCTGTTATCACCTGTCGCATGAGCTTGCCGAAACGCATTTCCAGGTACTGGAATCAAGTATACGAATGCATATAGTATACTGCATATGGGAATTGAGATCTCCCTCCTACCTCATAACAATTGGAGACATTGTTCTCATAGAAGACTGGCACTACAACATAGATCAGCACGGGCACAACAACCACCATGGACAACACCATAAAAACGTAGTTGATGCCGAACGTATATGTCTCGGCTGGCACGGACATGATGGCAATGCCAGAGAGTTGACTGAAATATACATAGATATGTGTCCATGGGGCATATTTAATCGAAGAATGCCCGAAACTCACCTGGCCACCAATGAAATGGCTATGGGCAGTGTTTGCATCTTCTTGCTGCCCCGCAGATACTCCTCGGTGGTGTTTTTGGCCTTGGAGAAGAACCCAAAGTAGACGCCAATGGCCAGCGAGGCGCACAGCATAAGCACGAAGACAACATGATCCGTAATCCCAAACGTAAGTGCTGAAGCCATATTTGATATTTGCGAACTACTTGACATTGGCCGTAGTGCAACACCTGAATGCTGTGCGCACACTTGGGTGCCTCTCCTGGCATGTGTCGTTTTTATTAAATGATGCTATTTAACTATCTTATCTGGCTCTCAGATTTATCTACATTTATCTATACAGGCGCTATAGCTATTGCTGCTTATGCGCCATAAAAGAGCTCAAGATTTGAAGAATTTTTAATATATAAAAACTTATTTTGCATGTTTATTTTGATGAAATCGCATTTCTAGAATATGTAGGGGCCTGACTGGGAGATACCCTGTAAACAATACGCGTGGTTGCACATCAACATTGACCTACCTTGTAAAACATATTTGTATGTCAAGTTTGTCTCTAGATTTTTAAAATGTTAAGAACTTGTGCATATCTCTGCTTATAATTTTATAGCTTTAAGTTTACCTTTCAGAAAACACATACTAGTGGAACATATGGTCATATCTAATTTAATTTTTTTATTGCAACAATGTCTTGTTAGTTACCTTCCTGTAGAGTTTATCCGGTTAAAAAATTGCAATAAAGTGTTCATACATTCAGATCTCTATATAAATTTAAAGGTATTGAGTCTGCCGTATATTATCATAGTGTCTCATTTTTATCACTAAAACACACTGAATTATTTTTTTTGAAGATCTATTAAGACTTTAGCTCTAACAAGTTTTGTGGAATGCATGACCAAGAGACACCCTATATGTGTACGAAATTATGTATGTAACTTAAACAGATAATTTTTTCTAGTTCTTAAGACATGCATGTTATTTTAGACTTTTGTTGCATTCTGCTATTTTAGCTTTTAAGTTTTACAATGACATATTTTATATACAATAATAATCATATTTCTGTGTTAAGGTCAAGTGTGTTATAAAAGATATAAGAATTCCCGGTATGTTCTGCTTCCCTGGATTATATAACCCTATGCATTTGTACATAAGAGTATACAAGTCTTAGAAGTCGTAAACAAGTATATTATTATATATAATATATATCAGTGATATATCGATGCCCTTATTACACCCCATTTGATCACTTTCAATGGGTATACATAAGGCCAAGATGTTTTGATAAGAAGTTATAGCTCCATAAATAATAATGCTGACGGCTGTTTCATTTGATCCTTCAATCGTAAAGCCTCTCGAAGAGATATGTTTCTGTCTGCGCTGACTTTTATTTGCAGTACTTATTATAGAAACTATCTTAGGTCTAGCTAGGCTAGATGCTGTCGAAACTCTAGTATACGCAGCTAATTAAGATAAGCATTTATGCCAGATTATATATCTAACATAAGCACTATATTTGTATATCTGCGAGGCTAATGCTGCTGCTGATAAATAGTATATAATACTAATTAAGGAAATTTGATTACGGTTAAAGTAATGTTTATGATTGCTGTTGCTTATCCTTTTGCAGCTCCGGCAGCTCATACATCGGCGCCTGCTCGTACTGCACGAAATACCTTATAGCCGGCGATAAGAGATTCGGATTGAGCTTCACTTGATCCGCTGCTGGACTGAGGACATAGCTGAGCACTGTGCCCGCCACCAAGGTGATGACGAAGCCAAGGGCCGCATACCAATTGTACGAGATGTCAAAGATGCTGAAGCCAGATGCTGGCAGATCCTTCACTGTGACTGTTGCATTCAGGTTCAACAGAGTGGAGACAGTTGTCGTCGCATTCAGGGTCGTCGGACAGTTGTCGGTGCTGATGGGCATGGAGGGATAGTGATTCCGGCCCCAGCTGCCCACTATGACGAATGCCATGCACACAATGCTCAGGGCGGAGGCAGCGAAGGCGGCCTGTGAGGAATGTAAGCAATATTATTATATTGATCTATATTTATACTGCACATATAGAGGATTTACAGACCCGGCCATGCACCCTGGGCACCAGCATGCCCAGAAGAAAGACGCCGCAGACGGAGCCAAAGCCGATGCCGCCAATGCTAAAGACCATCTGCAGAATGGAGCTGAATTTCTCGACTACGATGCCGCCAAATATGCAGTAGATGCCGGAGAGGAATACGATTATCTTCATAATCACATTGGCCTTGTGCTCCGTGTGGTGTATGCGCGGCTTGATGTAGTCGAAGTAGACGATGCCGCCCAGGGAGTTGATGCTGGCCGAGAGTGTGCTCAGGGCGGCGCTGAAGACGCACGAGATGAAGACGCCGGGCATGCCGGTCAGATGGCCCATAATATCCTGCACGAAATACGGCACCATCTTGTCCAGCTTGCTGACCACACCCACGGCAAGCGGATCGCAGTCATGGTAGCGCGCATACATCACAATGCCCGTGAAGCAATTGAAGCTCATGATTAGCAGGAAGCCCACTCCAAACAGAAAGATTGCTCTATAAGAATGCCGGCATTAGAGATGGCGGTGCTGCTGTCAGCCGTACTGGTTCACCCACCTTCTTGCATGCCCCAGCGAAGGCAGCGCTACAATGCGTTGCACACAGCTCTGATGGAGACCCACATAGCTGGTCCAGGCCACAAAGCCGGAGGCAGCGGCATTCCAAAAGGTAACGCGTGTCGTCAGATCAAATGTAAAGCTGCAGGTAAAATGATATAGATTGAACTAAGGCCCTTAACGGGTGGAGCTGGCACCTACTTCACATCCAATCGGCCGCCCTCGCCGGCAATGCGCCAAACCTCGCCCAGGCCGCCCAAACGTCGAGCGCCCAAGAAGCCCACCAGCACCACAGAGAGCACCATGATGCCCGCCTGCACCACATCCGTCCAGACGACAGCCTTAATGCCACCCTAAAAGGATCGAAAGGTTGAACGAATCAAAATCTTTTCAATATAAACAGATCTCATTTCAATTGCTTACGATCATTGTGTAAAAGATGCAAATGCTGCAGACAATTATATTGATAATGTGAACATTGAAGCCAGTTACTGTAGGAGAGAAAGAGAGAGGGCGGCATGGGAAGAAAGAGAGTGGATGAGTGATTAAATTATATGGCACACACGAGTGTTTTATCTATAATGTGACTTGATCTAATCTCACCTTGCGCAAAGGCCAGCGATGGCAGAAATATGAATATGGGCAGCATAAGGAATATATTAATCACAAACCAAAGAGTTTGCAGCTTGCGGGTGGCGCCATTGAAGCGCAGCTCCAAGTACTAAAGGAGAAAAAGAGAAAGATATACGTAAATAATATCAACACTTAAATTAATAAAAAAAAAATTTTTTTTAATTTAAAATAATGTAATATAACTAAAATTGAATTAAAATTTAATGTGATTCAAAATTAGATTTAGATCAATTACGCTAAGAATTTAATTTAATTTAATATAATTGAAAAATTTTATTAATCACCAAATAAAAACATTAAAAATACAAATAAAACAAAACAAATCTTAAGAAAATCCAAAAATAGAATAAGCAAAATATTATTAGATTAGATTATTACTCTAAAATTGGGTTTTCCGGGTTTTGAGATAATGTCGGGTTTTATTAAGATAAAAAATGTAAAAAAAAATATATCTCTATGTTATAGTAGATAAAATATGATATATGTGATCGTATATTTGTGATTTATGGCCTATGCTGTTTGGTATCTATATTATAGCATATGGTCTTTGGTACATGCTTTATGGAATGTAGTTTATGATCTCTGGCTGTGGTTTATCGTGTATGGCTTATGGTTTATGGCGAATGCCTAGCGCTCTCTGATATTTGGTCTATAAAATATACTGTATTTCGAGGTATATCTAAATTTCAGATTCAAACTCAATTAGTTTCTGATTTAATCACACGCAAAAAATTCCACTCTGGCACCATATAGTCTTAATATTGTTTATCGAACGAAATCCAATCAAATACCTCATAGCAGTTGGTAATATCGTTGTTGTAGAAGACAGGTATGATCACATAGTTGAGTACGGGTACAATCAACACCATGATAAGCACAGCGAAGAACCAATTCATGCCAAAGGCAAACATCTCAGAGGGTATGGTCATAATGGAGATGGCCGACAATTGGCTGGCCACCAGTGAGATGGCAATGGGCAGCGTCTTCATCCGTTTGCCGCCCATCAGGTACTCCTCGGTGGTGTCCTCGCCCTTGGCAAAGAATCCAAAGTAGACGCCGATTCCGGCAGATATGCTCAGCATGAATGTGAACACAACATAGTCTGTCGTGTTGAATGTGAAATGCGATTCGGCCAGGGTCTGAGCCGTGGCATTCAATAGAGCCGACATTTTGCGAACTTTTACTCTATAATAATTCACTCAACCGACACTGGACGCGTTTCAAAATCACAATTGGGCTCCGCATGACGTCTACAGTGCCTTTTATAAGTTTCCATCAGCTTAGAATTTTATCAGATCAGAGCTATCGACTTTATCAAAAAGAACTGTTATCTAAATGCCTTTTACAAGCTCAATTTGATCATCTGTAGATGGTATATATATGTGTATATTACATAGGAGGTCTAGGACCTTATCAGATAAGCTCTGCCAACAGTGATTCTGCAAAAATACTATCGGAGCAAAGTCAGTCCATTCATTGTTTTCAGATGACGTTACACATCCCACAAATCTCTGACAAGATCGTAAAGTTTCTTCACCGGGCTGCGATAATTAGGCGCTAGCTGAATCCAATTAGATAGGCCCATCTGGGCCTATGTAATGTATTTTTGTGGTTGGAATTTCATGTCGCCTAAGACCACATATTCCACCTGGTTGTCATACTCTGCGGGTCACAGCGATGCAAGACACTTTGGATGGCATCACTTGTCACTTGCCCCGGCTTTGGACGATGTTGCCATAGCTGAGCAGCTGGCACCAGTCAAGTAGGCAAGTAACGACTGCTTTATACCCTACACTAGATAGTCTGTTGTCTATCATACCGAGCCATAAATTATGCTTCCTAATGATAGAATAACCTACTTTACTAAGTTGTTTACTCTGAGGAAAGATTTGATTAGTTGGCGTTGCACGACTATGTAATACTCGGACCAGAACTGTTAATAATAATAATTCTTATGTATGCATATCTTTGCATACTACTATATAGTTAAAGTTCAAGTTCAGGAGTGGAATACACTTTCCTCTATTTCCCCTAATATATCCGCATTAGTAAAATGAATTTAAATTTTCCATTCCTACACTTCGCATAGGTAGAGTATAGAAATGTGACTGCTGCCGGATGCAACCCGCAGTAATATCTGCGCTTAATGGTCAGCCCCTTGCGCTGCATTGTGACCCAATACTCAATGACCCCTGCGCCGCTCCGCCTCCTCCTCAATTCAACATCTCAGCTGCAGCTGATGAAATCGGCGCTTAATGAGCATTGGATGCCAGCCTCAAGACACTTGATGAGAGCTCTACAAGTCATCACAACTGCAGCTTGTTGCGTCTTCAAAACCACAAAAAAGTGAAAGGATTATACGTAACACACACAAAATTAACAAAAATAAAAAAAAAAAAAAAAAAAAAAAAAAAAAGAAACACCTGAACATCTGAAATGAACTCGCTTAATTTCAATGAGAACTCGAATGTCAATGCATTAAAATATAGCTTTAGAATGTTGCATTGAGGCTTACAAAACTGCGCAATCTAGGTCAATTTGCAGATGAGTTTTAATTGCAGAGCATAAACATGAGAAGCAGCTCGTAATGCCCATATACGAAGATCTATATACATTTATATTTGAAGACTTATACTGAAATATATGGACCTGTAAAAGTAGAAGATGAAGAGATATACATACATATGTATTATATATACTTATTTTGGATTTTTTAAAGTTTTTATTTTTTATTTTTTTATTTTTATTTTTTTTCATATATTTTTATATGCACGTAGATCTCATTCCCAATTCATTTTTTTTTTTCAATTTATATATATATTTATTTTTTTTTTATTTATCTTTTTTCCCCCTATTACCAACAAGTTCCCAAAATGAAAAATCTGGCATCATTTAACGGTGACAAAATTTACTATTTTTTTTATTATTTTCATATTTTTTTTTGTTGTTTCTTTGTTTGTTTCATAAAAATAAAAACACTTACATGCTAATAATGCGTTATAACACTGTTTTTTGTTGTTTTTGTTTTGTTGTTTTGTTTTTTTGGGGATTGTTTGTTGTGTGTTGGTGTTTGAGAAAAAAGTATTTACAAAAAAAAAAACAAAAACGAATTTCGCCTCCGAAAGTTTTTGTTTACCTCAAATGCCGAAGGACGAAATTGCATTTTGAGTTTCAGATAGAATAGATTAGATAGATAGGTACAGTCACTGAGTCTGGGATCTGTTGGGGCAGCTGGAGGAGCTGGGGGACTGAGAATAGCTCGAAATTGGTTGAGTTTTTGTTGTGGAAGATGTAGGCAGGTTCAATGAAACATCTCACTCTACAACACGTGTCGAACAACGTTTTTTTTTCTTCACTCAATTGTTGTTTCGTTTTCGTATTTGGGGGGAGGAGCTTGGGGCGTAGGCGTGGCTCGCACGAAGTTCCAAGTTTTGGCTGTTGTTAAAACCCATACTTCCTTAAATTCTTCTTTCATTTCAGTTAATGTTGTTGTTGTTGTTGTTGTTGATGATGTCGTTAGGTCCGGCTGAGTCAATTAATGTCGTCCTTTCCGTCGTTTTTCATTTTTGGCAGCAAAAATTGTGTGTTGAATGTTTGTGGAATGTGCTTAGAAAGGCGCACCATAGCTGCCGCTGGGCCTGGACGGAGCACCATACGAGCCAGATGGAGGACCACTGGGATAGCCACCGCCGCCGCCGCCAGCCTGCGTGCTCTGCTGTGCGAACTGAGCCACCTGGATGGCCTGGCGGACGCCCTCAAGATCGATGCCAACCACACGGCCACCGCCGTTGCCGCCGCCGGGCGCTCCGTAGCTGGTCGATGGTGGGCCATAGCTGGTTGATGGTCCACTTGGGTAGCCACCACCACCGCCGCCGCCGCCGCCACCACCGCCTCCCAATTTGCTCTCCTCGTTCAACAGAATCTGACGCACCTGCTCCAGCAGCTGTGGATCAACATTCTGTCCCTCGGATGTCTGGAAGCCTCCGCTGACGGCCTGGAATCCGCCGCCACCACCGCCGCCACCGCCGAACGAGGAGCCGCCACCGAAGCCGCCGCCGAAGCCACCACCGCCTCCACCGCCACCACCGCGTGGATAATTGTAGCCCGATGGCGGCTCAGCTGCGGCCAGAGCAGCGAGCGCAAACACTAAGAACTGTTGGCGAGGAAGAATTGGGTAATCCAACGGCTATCCACATCGTATAATCCACTTGGTTACTTACCACTGAGAAGGAGTTCATAGCGATTGAGTTTTGAGTGGTGTATGTGTGTGTGTGGGGGAGAGAAGTAAAATTAAATTATAAGGTAAATTTAGTTGCTTTCGAGTGGGGAGCCAGCGACTGAATGCCAAACAAATGCCATGCAGGCCCTCTTTATACTACGCCGCTTCTCTGTGCTCAGCGACCCGCTCGTTCCCTCAGCTCAGCGCCAACCGAGTTGGTTTCATCGGCTGCGTCGAACCAAACATCATTATCGGCAACTTCTCCGTCTGCTGCATGAGCGCCAGCTCAACGATGGACACCAACGAAACACACACATTGAGTGTGGTCGTTGTTGGCGTTGTTGTTGTTGTTGTTGTCTTGTCTGTACCTTCATCTTCAGCGAGCAACTCGTTTTTGGCGGACGACCTGCGGCCAACTCCAACTTCAGTTGCTCAGCTGCGCCTCTTGTTTCCCACCATAAAAAAAATTATAAAAAAATCACAGCAGCAACAAAATAGTTAAAAAATCGAAAGACCAAAAACCGAAATGTCGCTAACAATTTTAGTTGTCTGTACTTGCATTTGGAATTTCTTCGGCACTTTCCTCAATTCACGTTTTTTTTTTTCCGCTTGGACATCACCAGCGACATCGCCATCGCCATCGACATCTCTCCTGACCAGGAAGTCATTTTGCCAGCCATTGATTATCAAAAGTAAACACTCATCGGCCATCTTTAAGGTATCTCCATTTCTAATGTACATTGAGGTATATATGTACGTATATCAGCGTTATTTATTGAAGTCGTCTAAGTCATGTAAATAGTATCAACAATGGGGCGCCACAATTTGCACCTTGTGCACGATTACGAAAGAGTTTGTCTGCGAAAATGCCATATAATTTTCATGTAGAGCACTAGGGCGAATCACTGGCAGGCAGACAGACGGACGGACAAACTGCCAGACATATAATCAACTGTGCTCGATTTCCCAAGGAATTACGTTAAAGTTGAAAATTATTTAAGTTCACATGGGCAACAGGGCATTGAAAGAACTGAATTGTTCGTTTTTGGGTAAAAGTTGTAGTTGTACAGTTAAAAAGAAGACCAAAAAGTTAATGATATGGTGTATATATGCACACACACACGTGCATATACTTACATATATATGTGTTTAGGTTTTTTTTTTTTTAGGTGTTCGTAATTCGAACAAATGTTTCACTTCACGTTCGCACTCTCAATTCGCTTTACGTCTGATTTTTTTTATTATACTCGTTAGCAGAGTGGAAAGGGAGTATACGGGTTTCAGGCAGTGCTGCACTGTTTACTAAATTTCAAATGGCATTTCTATCTATTTATATAACTTATAGTGATTATAATCTATATAATGATATACATATGTATATGTATATTTAAATAAATAGAGAACAAATAAGTCTGTCATTCTGTCTAATCTATGAACGAGTATTACATAGTCGTGAACAGCCGATAACAACATGCTCGTTTATTATGCATTGGGTCTTCCCTGGCGCGCTTCAAATGATATAACGCAGGTGTAAGGAGAGAGGGCGAGAGTGGGAGTAGGAGCAGGCAGCTCAGATAATGAGTCATTGTTGTAAATATGCGTACGAGATTTGAAAAGTACCAGCAACAACAAATGCTGCTCAAGATTCTGTCAGGGAAGCAACGGCCGATCAGTAGGCGTATACGTAATATTTTTTTGATTATTGTCTCTCGCCTGCGTATATTATGTCAACATCAACCGCTTTGTAGAGAGGGCACTCGAGACGCCTTAAGCCGAAAGTAAGCAAGACAACAAAAATAAGAGAAGAAAACAAGAAATAATAATGAAATTAAAAGAAATATGGAGCAAAAGCAGTTGAAAATGTAACCGAATCCCAATCAAAGTGCCAAGTGGCAGTAAATTGTGGTAAATGAGGTTTATTCACTTCGTACATCTCTGGGCTAACTTTCGCAAAGTGCAGCGGTTCGGGAGGCAGCTTGACTTTTTGGTTTAGGGTTTATGTTTGGGAAACCTTCACGCTTCAAAGTGAAGGACTTTTGGCAACTGCGTGCGCCGTTGCGTGGCGGTGGCGGCAATGACAACAGCGGCACGACTCCGACCCCCAGACCCTCAGACCGGCAGAGCTCTTTCAATTTGGTGGCAACAAAAAGACAAGAAGATGAAAGTCAACACTTAACACTCTCAACAGCAGCGGGGGCAGCGGCAGCACCAGCTTAGCTCAGCTCAGCTCGGCTCGAGCTCGAGCTCAAGCTCGAGTTTGAGTTGGAGTTCGACTTCAATGACAATGCGCTAAATCATTATTTTTTTTTTATATATTTTTTTTTCTCTCGTTTCTCGTCTGTCTTAAATTATTTTTATCAGCATGCGGAGTTGTTGTGGCTTCAGCTGCTGCTGCTGCTGCTGCTTCCACTGTCACTTTGGGTTTTAATTTGGTTTATTGTGCTTTTGTCTTGAGATGCCTTGTGAAGGTCTCTCTCTTAACACATTTCGTAATTGTCTGCATTTTTTTCACTCGCACTTTCAGTCAATTGCAAGTTGTTGATGTATTTTGGAAAGAGGACTCAACGTGTGGCGATGTTTTTCTGCCTGCGGTGTCATCCTAAATTACTAGTCTGGTCACACCATATGATCCGTTTGACATTGAAGTGTATTTGCATATGTGTACAAATAATTGCTAATTTTCCTTTTACATTTACTTTGTTAATTTTTAAAGGGTGCCTATCTGGTCGAATCTTTTTTAACTCGTACTTCCAGTTAAGTGCATGCTGTAATTGGAGTGCTACGACAGGGCGATTCCATGCGTGGCGATGTTTCCCTGTTTGAGGTGTCGTTCTTAATTACTAGGTTGGCCACACGGAGGATCGCTTCGGCATTGAAGCGAACTAGCTTCTCTTCAACTTTTTTATGGTTTGTTTGGCTGCCGCTTTTGGTGCGTCTTTTCATGGTTTGCTTTGTTTTCAAAGGTTTATTTTTTTTTGCAACTGAAATGAAACGCTTTATTGCATGCAACAATATGTTTATGTACATGCGGTTGTATGTATCTGGTCAAATCCATCATTAACACGTCCACTAGGTCAGCGTAGCCGAAGCCGACGCTACGTCGCCGTTGCATGACTTACATTTGGTACAATTTTTGTTTTTTGTTTTCTCAGCTTAATAACGGCCTAAGTAGATGTTCAATATCAGTGCAAAGCTGTGCGTGTGTGTGTTTGAGTGCGTTGGTAATTGTTATGACACTTTAATTAGGCCAAATAGCAGCTGGAAAATACACAATAATAGCAACAAAGTTGGCAAATGAACTGCAGACGCGCTGAAATTATTAAATCGTCGTTCGTCTTTGCCAATTGATGGATAATTCGATAAGGCTTTTGTTGCAAAACATATTCAGCTGTTAAGATACATATATGTATGTATGTATGTGTATGCTCATATGTATGCATAAGTATGTGACTATTCAGAGCAATGCACTCATCAGCAAATGGGAACAGTTAATGCCAAACTTTAAATTGCTGTTTACACGGCTGAAACGAAAAAAACACACAAGTGGCATTGAAATAATATTTTTGCTTCATCGCCAAGGTTCGGGTAAGCAATATAGTTGCTCTTTCCTATAATCAAAATTCTTCTAACGTTTTTTTGCTGCAATTATAAACGAGAAGGAAACCAATTCGTGATGCGCGGTCAACTTTGTCTACTCAATGTGACCAGACTGTCGTAAACAAATATTCGCAATTGAATTTAAACTTGCAAAGGATCAAAATATTAAATATGTACATGCATTACCTTAATAAAGAAATATATTTCATACAGATTAATTGACCACTTTGGATAATGACTAATTGTTCGAGCTGATGGCGTTGCAGTCCTATGTCTTTAGCAGATTATCTTCTTTTAATTTAATGACTACTGCAACTTGAGCTGGGTTTCGTTATCGCATTTGTGCAGCTGTTTGGAGGCTTCTCGAAGCCTATGATATATTATAAGGAGAAACGATTTTTTTTTCATGCCTCTAAACTGGCGAATCATGTGTGTAAAAACTGATTATTCAAGCGTATAAATGACAGAGAGGAAAGGAAAACCAGTGACAAATGCCGAGAATATCGCAAGATGTAATTGCTGCTGATGAAGATGAATGCGCTAAAAACTGCATCCACAAGGTAAATACAGTTTCAGCTACATGCATATGTATGTGTGAATGTGTATGTAACTGGCTAACAGTTACATAAGGCGCCAACGCAGAAGAGCCCCCCGAGCTGTTGTAGGCAAGACAGTCAGTGGCAGTAGCAACAACCTCGACGTCTTCTTTCGTTTCCTCAAAAAGACAAAACTAGTTTTATTTGTCCGAACCGTGCTCCTAGCTTTTATGTAAGTCAAGCGTGGAGACCGCGATACAATCCGCGACAGTCGCAGCCACGGCAACAGCAACATCAGCTAAAAACAACGGCAGCCGGCATGCAGGCAGATGAGTTGTCCATGCAACCAGAAAATGTAAGCAGCGCCAGCTGTGGACGAGGGAGCGAGAGGGCGGGCTAGACTAAGCAAGTGAAATTGCATATGCAATGCGAATTGAAGCTAAACAAAAATATAAAAGATGCTGTGCAAAGCAAACGTGCATAGAAATGCTGAAATTGTTTGGGAAATTGCTGCGACACGTTTTGGCTTGTCTGAATTGGCTGGAACCGCGCTCCGGCTTGGGTAACGACAACTGCAGTTGCCAAGTTGGCCTGGTGGCATCTCTGCTAGTTCTGCGCCAAACTTTAGCCTTTGGGTGTCTAGCATTTGATCAGCTTATGCAAAGATGCCAGCTGCGCCTCAACTCCGGGACTTGCATTTACGCAATGCGATTGCAGTCAAACTAGGCTCATAGCCATATGCATAGCCATATGGTCAGTGCAGATTCTCAAGGCGGCAGACGGAAAGTAAAAGTTACTTCGGACAGCGGGCAGGTGAATCACAAGTCACTAATTGTTTGCCAATGCGGGCACCCTGCTGGGTAGCCAGCGTGAATGTTGCTGCAGCATCTTAATAGTAGTATGGATTTACATAGCGTTAATTATGACTAAATTTGGACAGCTCAGCGGCTAATCATGGTCGGCGAAAGATGAGATAAGCCTCAATTAGTTATATGCTATTTCACGCTTTCTGGCCAAAACTATAATTATAAGTTAGTTCATTAAGGGTCAAAAACAATTTCAACAAATGTAATAAAACTTCAAGCTAAATTTTAAGCAATATTTTTGTCTGCAGTCAGAAATATCTTTTAAAGTTGCTAATCGGTTTTTAAATTAACGTCTAAAATCGATTGTTAGTTCTGCATACTTTTAGGCGTTGTCATTATGGCAGATGGTCGATACGCAAGTGAAAATATAATTATTATATTGGTTGATATGAAATCATTTCGCAAATTTGCAAGTGAACAAAGTAACCTAGCTTTTTCATTTATTGGCAAAAAGCTCAAAATTCTTTGGAAAAAACCCTAACCATATTCAAACTTTTCTTTGCGACAGTAGGTCACACTTTTCTTAACAACAGCTGACTAAGCAGACGTGTGAATGGTCAGACGCCATTACGTTACGTGCTGACGAGTCGTGTACGTGTACAATAAAAACAGGAGAAAAAAGGAAAATATATGTAAGGTGCAGAGAGAGAACAGTCAAAATTAACTGTGTCGATGTCGAACGATAATACATAAAACAACAAATAAACAAGAAATAACGAAACAGCTAGCGTTCACCAAAATAGGCCAGCGAAACAATCAACATTAACATCTTTCTTGAGTCGATCAGCCAATTGGCTGGCTTTGCAACCAACTGCATCAACATGCAGCTTCTAATTTCAAGTGTTTGCATGGCGCTGACCAGCGCCGTAATTGGCAACGCCTACTACCAGAAGCAGCAGTTCTATCCTGCCGTTGTCTATATCACCAAATCCAATGCATCTATGGCGGTAAGCAGCAAACTCTTCTTTACGAAATACTATTTCATATACATAATTACTTACGTATATATACATATATATTGATGTATTTAAAAATATACCTACCTACATATATTATTAATGCGATTTCCGATTGTAGGTAATCTACATACAATTTTTTGTGATAGTCTTTATGTTTGGCAAGCTCTTGCGCAAGGTAAAATAAATTTGTTGATATCGGCTTAGTCAGACAGTAAAATAATGCTGTTTTATTGCAGATATTCCTAGGCACGTTGCGTGCTGCCGAATTTGAGCATCTGCTCGAACGCTTTTGGTATGCATTGACAGAAACATGTTTGGCATTTACTGTGTTTCGCGACGACTTCAATCCCCGCTTTGTGGCACTTTTTACAGTGCTCCTCTTTCTCAAATCATTCCATTGGCTGGCCGAGGAACGCGTTGATTTTGTAAGTACACGTGCGATTCGTGCTTATGTATTTCTTTATTAATTTTGTGCTTGCCCCTTGCAGATGGAGCGTTCCCCGGTACTGGGCTGGCTGTTCCACATACGCGTCGGCAGTCTGTTAACCATGCTGGGCATCCTTGACTATGTGCTCCTCATGCACGCCTACAACTCAACGCTTGTGCGTGGTCCGACGGTGCAGCTAGTGTTTGGCTTCGAGTACGCCATCCTGTTGACAGTTATCGCCAGCACGGCCATAAAATATGTGCTCCATGCTGCAGAGATGCGCACCGACACGCCCTGGGAGAATAAGGCCGTGTTTCTATTGTATACGGAACTAGTGATTGGATTAATCAAGGTGGTGCTCTACTTGCTCTTCGTTGTTATTATGGCCAAGATTTATGCACTACCCATGTTCGTGTTCCGCCCAATGTTCTTTACCATACGCAACTTCCGCAAGGCTCTCAACGACGTCATTATGTCTCGACGTGCAATTCGCAACATGAATACATTGTATCCGGACGCCACACCCGAAGAGCTGCGCCAGTCGGACAATATTTGCATTATTTGTCGCGAAGACATGGTTAATCACTCCAAGAAGCTACCGTGCGGTCACATCTTCCATACGACCTGCCTGCGCTCCTGGTTTCAACGCCAGCAAACTTGCCCCACTTGTCGCCTCAATATACTCCGTACACCAACAGTTAATTCTACGGCGATTCCCCGGGCTGCTGAAGAGCCAGCAAATGCAGCTGCAGCAGCAGCAGCTCCTACTGGTGGCCAGCCAGCAGCTGGCGCCGATGGGGCAATCATTAACCCAGCAGCAACAGCAACAGGAGTACCAGATGCAGGCCAACCACATCCAAACGGTTCAGCGATTCGCAATCCAGGAGTACCAAATTTTGCAGATATTTTAGCCGAAGCAAGTGAGTGGCGGTTGATCAATCTATTTAAGATTTGCTCACATTTGACTAACCTATTTTGCCTCCTACATAGATAACCTAAGAAACGAAATGTCAAATCGAGCTGGCATACCGCCACCTCCTATGATGCCGCCGTTTATGATGCAGCCACCCTTTGGATACTTTCCTCCTCCGCTAGTACCGCCGCCACCGATGCCGCAGGATCTCAACACGTTCAACGAGGATGAGCTACGCGCCATGGAAGGCAATCTACGCACACATATTGAGGAGCGCATCAAGGTAAATTAATAAACTAGATAAGGTATAGTCAGTCAACTGTATATCACTAAAACAATTTCTAGATGCTTCGCAATATTTTGGTAATGGTGGATTCGGCAAATATTTTAATGCAACAATATCAAGGGATAATTGCGCGACTGCCACCGCCTATGCAAGTAGTGCCACCAAACCCGGATACGACAGCTCAACGCGTACCAACGGCAGCCGATGCAACAGCAGCAGCCGCTCCAGCACAATCAGGAGCAGCAGCATCTGCCGCTTCACCACTACCAAGAGCAGCAGCAGCAGATCCAGCAGCGGCGTCAACACCAGTTTGTGATAAACCGAGCACATCAAGAGCCGCAACAACAGAGGCTAAGCCGCACGAGGGGCAGGTGAACAGCGTTGCTATAAGTAGCCCTGTGGCAAATGCCTCAGAAAAAGTTACTATTGAAGATTTGGGCGCTGAGGAGGATATCAACCCGTCCACTGATGCCGCTTCTGTCGATGTGGATAGCGAGGATAGCTCCGAGCTGAGCGAGCTGCGAAAGCGACGCTTGAAATTCCTTGAGGAGCGCAACAAATCGCCAACAGCTACTAGCGACAAAACAGATTAGAATTCGAACTGAAAGAAATCAGCAGCATCAGCATCAGCAGCAGCGCAACAGCCTTTGACGCCCACCTTGCTCTCACACGTGCATCTAGCAACTCGATGTGTATTCTATGAATGGATATTGATTTTAGCTTATTCTACATTGACCCCTTATCTTTCCGAAATTTCTTCGACTTTGTTGTATTGACATGGTTTTTAAAAAGGAAAAAAAAAAAATGGAATGCTTACATACACACACACACATGCACATACAGAACACAGATTCACATACGTCATATACATATAACGGTATCTGTGTAGAAAGTGGGGCTATGATAAAGCGGGGCGTGCAAATTCAATATATTTGAATATATAGTGTAAAAAAAATAGAAAAGAAAAACAACTAATTTAGAAAAGGGGAAACTGATGATTTATAATTAATAATTATTATATGTGTATAATTAATGTGAAATATAACTAAAACGAAAAGACGACATGAATTATTGATGATTTAAATGTACATATGAACTCATTACAAATAATTTAAACATTAATTACACATAGATAACAACTGTGGAACGTCTTGTGCTCGTCGTGTGGAAGATTTGCATTTGCACATTTCCGGATCAAATACGCGACTCCATTTCCCGAAACTCGGCGGGATCAGTAAAGTGAACGGTCATTATATAGAACATGGATGGGAACGGCACGAGACAGAGCAAAGCATAATGATAATTCAACGAGCAGATGCCAAAGGCAAGCAGCAGCCAGTGTACGGCTGAAAATATAGTATTGTTGAATATTCTATAAAAACAAATAAGTACCAGCGCCTTACTAATTATTACAGCATTCTTCACATCCCATACAGATGATAAAAGTAATGCTTTCTGTGTTTGATCCAGCTTTAGGGAGTAGTGTATGGCGTTGGCTACCATAGACATGGCAATGCTTAAATAGGGAAACGAATAATCTGAAAGAAAGATGGCCATGAGTACAGTTTACAGAGAGTTACATGGGCATATTTACAAATAAGTCCGCAACAGGTGCCATGAATTAGTGTCAGTAATGGCATAAAGTACAGAGCTGAATAAATAGGCGCCTTGCTCCGGACATCGAACGTCGAGCTGACAATGGGTCGGATGAGAAACATATTCAACAAACACAAGAAGTAATACACCAACACAATTGTTTGTCTGTGCACAAATAGAAAAGAAGAGTGGGTTACAGTACGTTACAGTAAATTAGCATCTCTACTACATACAAAGGATAGACAGCCTCCTGTGTGCAATGATACGTGGTCTCATAGTTGGGGTTGGGATTGTAGAACAATGTGTACCAGTCCGTCAGCTTGCGCACCTCGCACGCATACAAGCTCAGCTCCCACATTGGCTCCATGAACAGGATAGCCATTAGAGCAGAGAGTGCCACCTCGACAAAGGCGCTGGCCGTTAGGATTAGTTGTTTTCGTGAAAATTTGCGATCTTTAGCATCCATGTCGATAAAAAAACAATGCATCATAAAGGGTAGCATTGACATGAAGCATAGATAAAGCCACGAGTAAGAAGTCAATTCGTCTCGACAGGGCGTACAAGCGAAGCTCGCATTTACCTGTAACAAATGAGTAAGTCAAAATAACAATAACGTAAACAATAAACAAAGCTTACTTACTCGAGTTCCTCGGGGGCAAACACCACAATTGCTCCAAGTTCCATTTTCTTGCAGCGACCTACCACAATATAGGCCGGGACAACGATCTAAATTATTGTACATCTTTACACCAAATACGATCTATTATTGTTTCTTCTTTTTGGTCGGTTGGGAGAAATGTTTTTTTTTCTTCTCACCAAACACTAACATAGTTAAATGTGGCCACCCAAGAACCTTAACATTAGCAGAAATGTTATTTACAGCGCATTTTTCGATATTGGGAGAATAACCGTTGGTAAACAAATAAAATAGTTTCACAAATAAAACAAATTTATTTATGTGCCTAGAGTTCCGATACCTATGGTTCATTAATAACCGAAATGGTGCAGATGTCATTGAGTTTTGCATAAAAACAGCCGATTCAACACGACATGCTCTCAACCGGCTTCAAATACCCGTCTATATTAAAAACAAAATTTACTGCGTTAACATCGAACAGCTGTCGTAAACGATTTTATATCGATTTGTCGTCAAATCTAAATTAAGTGTTGTAAAGGACTGTAGTGATAGTTATATATGAAAATATTTGTAAAGCAAATAATTAGCGATTTGGGAAATCAGCTATAATTAGATTGCTTTCAACTATTATATTAGTCGCATTTAAAAGATTTAGATCTTGAAATTTAGTATGTGGCGGTCGACCGATAATGGACAGGGATGCAAGGTGTTTTTGTGCCGTCGATGTTTAATTTAGGCAGGTTCATATTCGGCCGGCCACTGTAATATATCGGCCGTCTACACAAGAAAATAATAATTAACTCTTAAATAAGTGTAGGAAATAGGAAAATAAACTTACAAAATTCATATAAATTAGGCAATACGCCAGAAAGTAATACAAATACAAACATCAACAATTGCAAAAATTGGCCATCACCAACAGAGACGCCATTTTGGCTATCGGCCGGCTGATTTGTAAAGCTTAGGAGAGCCAGCCAGCAAAATTTGCAAAAAAGTACATAAATAGTTTTTAACATTTTGTGCAGCAACTATGAAATTCTAACAGTCAAGCCCTAAACAAGTCTGAGTGCAAGTATCGTGGCAAATTAGTGCGACAGTGTAAATTAATGCGTATATTAAGTAAAACGCACAGTGTTTTTAGGGCGGATGCACAAAATGGTGAGTTGTGCAAAAGCAAAACGATTTCGTGACTACATTTGTGTGCGTGTGTGTAGATACGCGAATATAAGTGTGTGTGTTAGAAGTGAAAAATGTAGGAAATCGTCCTGCAATTCGGATTGAAACAGGCAAATATAATATCAAATTTCCGTAAAACATGAAAAATGAGCAATCAACGCCCCCGTCATTATGATAAGACATATTTCAAAGGGCTCGACATTTGTTCGTCGTGTGCTGCACTTGTGCGGGTCTATGCCCTCCCCCAGCCCCAGCTTCGCTAATCTGTGCTGCATTGCCATTGTGAAAATGTGCATGTATGAATGTATATTTATGTATGTACATAAATATATGTACATATGTATGCAGTATTGACAACGAGAATGATAAGTTTGCACGTTAGTTGTCAAATTATTTAAATAAAAATTTTGAACTTCGAAAAAGGAAGAAGAAGTACATCTAGGAGCAGGCGAGGAAGAAAAAAAATAGAAGGCGAGTTCCGTCGCCTTTGGTAGTAAAATAAGTGGTTGCTCCTCAAGTATTTGTTCTTATGGCCCCGGCGCTTGTGCCGGATGGGGGTTTCGTGTACCCGTTCCACGGACACCCAACGTCCAAGACAGTGATGTAATTTTTGGGAAAAATAAAAATTTTTTTTTTTTGGCAAAAAAAAAAAACAAAAAAAAAAAAAAAAAAAACAAATAAATAAATATAAGCAGGAAAAGAACAACGTAAAACGGCAACAACATTAAATTAAATTCACACTGTCGCAGTGATGAGTGTGTGTGTGGTATGTAAGTGTGTGCGGGAGAGTGTTTATTGTGCGTGTGTATATGTGAGAGTGAGTGCTCATATGCTCGTATATATTTGGCCAGTATTGGGCTCCCCGTACCTCCGTTCGCCTGGCCCACGTCTATTAAATAATATTGATTTTTCATATTCCAACCCACTCTCAACACACGCTCATGCCACAATCTGCGCTCGCTCTTTTCGTTCGTTGCGTGCGCCTGTGTGTGTGAGTGTGTGTGTGAGTATGTGTATGTGTATGTGTTTATATATGTGCAAGTGTGTTTTTTGGTCTCCTTTGTGCGCTCGTATTCATTTTGCTATTTCTTCTTTTTCTCTTACTTCGTTGCAGTTTATAGATTTTCGCAATTGTGTCCGTTGAGCAGAAATATGTAAACTAAATGCAGCGCGCCGCAAACAGCAGCAGTGCATGCAAAAATAATAATAATAACAACAACAACAACAATAGGAATAACACCAACAACAATAATAATAACAACAGTGAGAACAATTTCTTATTGGGACAATAATAAGAAGATACAAACGGAAGCCAGGAAGATACTTATCTGAAAAGGTTTACAAACGTCGTCAAACCCAAAAAAAAAAACAAAAAAAAAAAAACAAAACAGGAGGAGGCAACACAGACGCCGACGCTGACGCCGACGCCGACCAACAGTGCCTATGTACATTGGTTACAAACATTGTTCATTCATTTGATTACTTACCCCCAAACCAACCCATAAACAATAATAAGGACTAACGGTGTTAACAGAAGTGTGCCCGTCTCTGTCTCTCCGGAACCAGGACTGCCATAGTCATAGTCAATAGTCAAAGCCAAAGCCGCCCAGCGTAGACTTCTGTAGAATTACGATACGATACACACACTGAACACACCTACATCAACACCAACACCAACACACGCATACAGACCGATTGACACACACTTAAGCTCTCACTCACACCTGATAAGCAGCCAACATAATAGAACGAACGACGACGGCGCTTAGCATTGGTGACGTTGGTGCAGCCACAGGGCGCAGAAATGACATTCGATACGCGCCGGCAGGGCACAGGAACTGGCCAAGCCACGACCAACAACAGCAGCAGCACCACCTCCACAACCAATACCAACACCACTACCACCACCAACAGCACCACCGCCACCACGGGCGTAACGAGCACAGCTCAAGACGCTGGCTCTGTTACGGGCACAGGCACTGGAACGGGAACGGGAACGGGCACAACATCGGTCACAACATCGAACATGTCCAGCACCGGTGGCGATGCCAACAATAGCAATACGAACAGTCAGGATGCGAACCAACTGACGGATGCACCAACAGCAGCAGCAGCAGCAGCAGGTGTTAACGCTGTGGAGAGCGCCGCCTCAGCAATGTGAGTATTCATTAATTTTAGACATTTGTTATGCCTGGCAATACAATTTTAACTGCGTAGTTAACGTGGCTAAAATATTCGCATTTCGTATGCAAAGAAGAAACAGTTTTTCCCTAGTGGATCATTTATTTTAATACCTTGTCCCCGGTGCTGAGAGTAAAAGTATTTTGCAATAATTAATTAAAATTTCGGTATTTAAAAGCTAATTTAAAAAAGTAAATGCTTTTTATGTATTAAGTCATAAATTGACGTCTACTTAGCCATGATAAAAAGATATCGCCCTAATTTAGTCTCTGCAAATATAATATTTAGTTTAGCTTCTTTGCAATTTGACATAAATTGATTTGACTATAAGTCAATTAATATTGACCAGGTGCTCAGCTGCTCAG